AGAGAGGGCTGGAGGGAGCTGACAGGGCAATGGCAGTTTTTCCTGGGACTGCCGCTGCAGGGTCCAGTGACAGGTATCTGCTGAAGTGGAGCTTTCTTTTGGGTCTCTGGGGTTCTGAGGTGTGATTTTCCCTCTGAAGACAGGCGGAGCCCCTGGTGGGTGCCTTTGCCTCAGAAATGGGTCCCCCTGAGCTGGGAGCTGTACTCTACCCTCAGTGTGCTAGGACACCTCTCACCTGGCCCTGCCCATTCTGGCTTCTGAAGCCCACAGAGAGGGTCTGTAGAAATTGCTAGATACGAAAGGGCTACAAATAAGTCACAGGAAGTCTATTTACATAACTCAGTGGTTTTCAGCCATTACTGTACTTTTATTCAGCAGAGGAGATATTTTAAAATGCGAATACCCTGTGTCACCCTGCGGAGATTTGGATTTATTTGATGGGGCAGATGACAGGCACCTTTGGTTTTTTGTTTGCTTGTTTGATTGTAACAGGATCTTGTGCTGTGGCCCAGGTTGTAGCGCAGTGGCATGATCATGGGCACTGCAACCTTGACCTCCCAGGCTCAAGGAATCCTCCCTTCTCAGCTTCCCAAGTGGGTGGGACTATGGGCATATACCACCATGCCATGCTAATTTTTGTGTTTTGTAGAGACAGGGTCTCACTATTCCACCCAGGCTGTCCTTAAAGTCCTAACCTCAAGCTGTACTCCTGCCTCTGCCTCTCACAATGCTGAGTTTACAGACATGAGCTACTGTGCCTGGCCCTGTATCTTTTAAGAGCTTCCCTAGTGCTTTGAAGAGGCACCCAAGCAAAGAAGACTTTGCTTGCAGAAGGCTTGTGGAACCCTGTTGAGGCTGCATCTTCTTCACAGCCATCAGATTATTCCCTGAGGTATCTGCTTAGCAGTGCACAGGCTATTTACATGGAGGGCTTGAGGAGCTGTGGGGTTTGGGTTTGGCTGGGGCATGAGTGTTGGCTGTGGGATTGTCACAACCTGGTCCTATGGGACACCCAGTCTGGGATCCTTCTTCCCAGACCACCATCCTGCCTGTCACCACTCCTATGGCAGGTCCACAGCTGCTTGCTGGAAGGGTGTTGGGAAGTATTGGTCCTCCAGCTGTCACGTCCTCCTGTTCGGCTGAATCCCAGCGATCCTCACTTGGAATCTGGGTCTCAGAAGGGTGTGGCCCTGGGTTCTTGGCTGGCTGAGCTGGTGCTTTTGCAGCCTCTGGGGCTCTTGTATGTGAGGCCTGACCTGAGTTGCTTCAGGAAACTTTCACCCCTGAGGGTGCTTCCTGCTTAACAGCAGAATCTTTGTGTGGAGATCTGGCTGGCCTCCCTGGCCACCATTCCAGGCCTGTCCTCATATTTTTATCCCTCTCATTTGTTCATCTTCCTCACCAAAGATAGGTTGCTTTATCTTGTCAGTTTTTTTTTTTTTTTAATGTGGATTCCTGAACCCCATCCAGCCCCTTGTTCCCTCCCCAGCCAGCTCACACTCATTTGTCACAGCTCCTGGGACTCCCGTTGACACATGAAGAACAGCCCCCTACAGTGGACTGTGCTGTTCTGTTTGCACCCTTAAATTTATCGTGCTTACAGAATGCCACTTCTGCAAACGAGTCAAGAAGAGGGAAGTGACTCGTGGATATGCACCCTTGCTCATCCTCTTTGAAAAGGTAACCAGCTCTGATTTCTTTTTTCTTTGAGAGGGAAGATCATTCTTGTCACCCAGGCTGGAGTTCAGTGGCACAATGTTGACTCACTGCTACCTCCGCCTCCCGGTTCAAGGGATTCTCCTGCCTCGGCCTCCCAAGTAACTTGGATTACAGGTACGTACCACCACGTTCTCCTAAGCTTTTTTTAAAATTTTTTTAGTAGAGGTGAGGTTTCACCATGTTGGTCAGGCTGGTCTTGAACTTTTGACCTCAAGTGATCCACCTGCCTTGGCCTCCCAAAGTACTGGAATTACAGGCATGGGCCACCATGCCTGGCCCCAGTTCTGAATTCTTAAGAAACTCTCGAGAGGTTCTAGGTCAGCACTGATAGACCTGGGTGCTGCAGTGCTGGGTGTTGTGGCTCACACCTGGAATGCTAGCACTTTGGGAGACCGAGGTCAGAGGCTCTCTTGAGCCCAGGAGTTTGAGACCAGTCTGCACAACATAGACCCCATCTCTACAAAAAATTTAAGATTTGTTGTGGCCAGGCAAGGTGGCTGACACCTGTAATCCCAGCATTTTGGGAGGCCGAGGTGGGTGGATCACAAGGTCAGGAGTTCGAGTCCAACCTGACCAACATGGTGAAACCTCGTGTCTACTAAGAAAATACAAAAATTAGCTGGATGTGGTGGTGTGCACCTGTAATCCCAGTTACTCAGGAGGCTGAAGCAGGAGAACTTCTTGAACCAGGGAGGCAGAGGTTGTAGTGAGTCAAGATCATGTCACTGCACTCCAGTCTGGGTGACAGAGCAAGACTCCATCTCAAAGAAATAAGAAAAATAAAAAATAAAATTAGTTGATTATGGCTGTGCTTGCTGTAGTCCCAGCTACTTGGGATGCTGAGGTGGGAGGATTGTTTGAGCCCAGTAGGTCAAGGCTGCCATCTGCCATGATTGCACCACTGTGCTCCCACCTGGGGGACAGAGTGAGGCCTTGTTTCAGAAAAGAACCCTTGCAATGATAGAAATGCCCCATATATGCACTGTGTGAAGTGGTGGCCAATAGTTACATATGGCTATTGAGGTCTTGATATATGACTAGAATAGCTGAATTTATTTAGTTTAATTAACGATATAGATATTTTTGACACAGCCTTACTCTGTTGCCCAGGCTGCAGTGCAGTGGCATAATCACAGCTCATTGCTCAACCTCCTGGGCTCAAATGATCCTACCTCCTCACCCCCTCCAAGTGGCTGGAACCACAGGCATGCGTCACCACACCTGGCTAATATTTAAACTTTTTTAGAGACTGGGTCTCACTGTGTTGCCTAGGCTGGTCTTGAACTCCTGGGCTCAAGTGATCCTCCTACCTTGACCTCCCAAAGTGCTGGGATTACAGACCTGAGCTGCCATGCCCAGCCTGGTTTAATTTCATTATACATACATACATACATACATATATACATACATACATACATTTATTTACTTATGATAGTGTCTCGCTCTGTCACCCAGGCTGGAGTGCAGTGATGCAAACACAGCTCACTGAAGCTTTGACCTCTGGGGCTCAAGCAGTCCTCCCACCTCAGCCTCCCAAGTAGCTGGGACCCTCAGTGTGTGCCACCATGCTTTGCTAATTTTTGTATTTTTTGTAGAGATGGGGTCTTGGTATATTTCCCAGGCTGCTCTTGAACTCCCAGGCTCAAGCAGTCCTCCCCCTTCGGCCTCCCAAAGTGCTGAGATGACAGGCATGGGCCATCATGCCTGGTCCCAAGGCATATTTTTACTTCGCGTGTAGTTCAGCCTTAAGACTGTACCAGCAGATAGAGATGGAAAAGTAAGATGAATGGAATATCAAATTATATTTATAAATAAAGCAGTTACTAAGTAATGACTTTCTTTTCTTTCTTTCTTTTTTTTCTTTTCTTTTCTTTTCTTTTTCTTTTTTTTTTTTCTTTCTTTCTTTCAACAGAGTCTCGCTGTTGCCCATGCTGGAGTACAGTGGCACGATCTCTGCTCACTGCAAGCTCCACCTCCCAGGTTCACAGCATTCTCCTGCCTCAGCCTCCTGAGTAGTTGGGACTACAGGCGCCCGCTACGATGCCCAGCTCATTTCTTGTATTTTTAGTAGAAATGGGGTTTCACCGTGTTAGCCAGGATGGTCTCGATCTTTGACCTCGTGATCTGCCTGGCCTAAACTTCCCAAAGTGCTGAGATTACAGGTGTGAGCCACTACGCCTGGCCATGTTGTTGTTTTTTTAAACCTCCATTTTCTTCTGGGTTAGATCATTCCCTGGCTGTCTTTACCCTAGCATCAGTGAGTCCTGTAGTCACTACAGCCCCCTGTGAGGTCAGATATTTTCGTCACCATCAAGTGGATCTTTATTTTTTATCTAACATTTGCAATTCTGCCAGTTCTGATTCTTAAATTCTCTTTGTCTTGAATTCCAGGATGCATCTCTGATATTCAGTGAAGACGACCAGAACAGTCTGCTAGAGCAGTACCATCTGGGTCTGGATCAAAAATGCAGAAAATACATGGTTGGAGAGCTCATCTGGAATTTTGCCGATTTCATGACTAACCAGTGTAAGTGGCAGTTTGGCTCATGGGATAAGGTACCCGTCCTCATTTTTTCAGGTTGCCTTGCCCTTTCTGGATATTTTGGTTGTAAAAATATTGGAAACAAAGTGAGAAAGCTGGTTTAATCCATGTAGGTCGCGCTGAGGATTTCCTAGGTAAAGGAAGTTGTGCTTAGGAAGTAGGAAAGCAGTCAGGTCCCCGCTTCCCAAATACAGTCAAAAAGCAAACAGGAGAGTCTCCTACAGTGAGGTGGACATGGCTAGCTTGCCTTTTTCTTTGTCTATTTCATAGCCAAGGAGGAAGGAAAAACTGGACCTCATTATGGATTTACTTTTGGGATACAATGATTATTCCAGAGGAAGGTACAAAGCCTGAGAAGCTTAAGGTATTTCAGTGTGTTTTATATTACTCACTTGCAAAAAGCAGGCTCATCAAACACAGGTGAGTTTCAACGCATCTTGAATATGGCAGCATTTAAAGTCTTCAGACCGGGCATGGTGACTCATCCCCGTAATCCCAGCGCTTTGGGAGGCCAAGGTGGGAGGATCCCTGAGGCCAGGAGTTTGAGACCAGCCTGTTAAGCAGAGCAAGACCCCATCTCTACAAAAAATAAGCACATTAGCTGTGTGTGGTGGTGTGTTCCTGTAGTTCCAGCTGCTTGGGAGGCTGAGGCAGGCAGATCGCCTGAGCACAGGAGTTGGGGGTTGCAGTGAGCTGTGATTGCACCACTGCACCTGAACCTGGGTGAGAGAGTGACACCTGTCTTAAAAAAAAAAAAAAAAATGGGTCTTCAAAGACCAGAAGATCTGTGATGTCACGTTGGGTGACTGAGGGGCTGCAATATTTGCAATGAATGTTTCCCATTTCTTCTTAGTTTATTAACTTACCATCCTTGGCAGTTTGGTGGGTTGGAGAAGGATATGGTGATGGCGGGAGTTACAATACATTACTTATAGGGGAAGACAGGCTTTTGAAAGGTTAATGCTTAAAAGTGAGAAGGGAAAAGGGATGAGTGAATGAACAAGATGAGGTGAGAGGGAAGAGGGAAAGGGAAAAGGAGAACAAGAAGCTCTTCTCTGCATGGCACCTGGGATGAATGGTTTCTGGGGACATCCCTGATGGCAATTTTGTGGAGAGGTGCAAAGATTTCTGTGGTAAGAAATGAGCTGTAGGCCCAGTGCAGTGGCTGACAGCTGTAATCCCAGGACTGTGGGAGGCCAAGAAGGGCAGATTACCTGAGGTCAGGAGTTCAAGACCAGCCTGGCCAACATGGAGAAACCTTGTCTTGACTAAAAATATAGAAATTAGCCGGGCGTGGTTGCAAGTGCCTGTAATCCCAGCTACTCAGGAGGCTAAGGCATGAGAATCGCTTGAACCCGGGAGGTGGAGGTTGCAGTGAGGGAAGATCACGCCATTGCACTCCAGCCTGGGCAACAAGAGTGAAACTCCATTTCATGAAAAAAAAAAAAAAAAAACAGAAAAAAACCCAGGGGGTCTGCGCGCAGTGGCTCATGCTTGTAATCCCAGCACTATGGGAGGCGGAGGTGGACAGATCACAAGGTCAGGAGTTTGATACCAGCCTAGCCAACATGGTGAAACCCTGTCTCTATTAAAAGTACAAAAATTGAATGGGCATGGTGGCAGACGCTGGTAATCCCAGATACTTGAGAGGCTTGAACCCAGGAGATGGAGGTTGCAGTGAGCCGAGATGGCACCACTGCACTTCATCCTGGGCAACAGCGCAAGACTCCACATCAAAAAAAATAAATAAAATTAAATGAAGAAGGAGGAGGAGGAAGAGGAAAAAAAAGAAGAAATAGCTAGGTGTGGTGGCTCAGGCCTGTAATCCTAGCAATTTGGGAGGCAGAGGAGGAGCAGGAGGAGGAAAGGAGGAAAGGGAAACAGCCAGGTCAGTCATGGTGGCTGGTGACTTTGAGGAGGAGGAGGAAGAGGAGAAGGAGGAGGAGGAGAAAGAAATGGAGTAGGAGGAAGAAACAAACAGCCAGGCCTTGTGTAGTGGCTCATGCCTGTGAGGAGGCGAAGGAGGAAAATGAAATGGAGGAAGAAAAAGAAAAGGAGGAGGAAAAAAAAATGGAGGAGGAGGAGGAAAAAGAAATGTAGGAGGAAGAGTAGGAAAAAGAAATGAAGGAGGGGGAGGAGGAGGATAAAGAAACAGGAGGAGGAGGAGGAATTGTGGGAGGAGGAGGAGTTGGAGGAGGAGGAGGAAGTGGATGAGAAGGAGGAGTTGGAGGAGGAGGAGGAGGAGGAATTGGAGGAGGAGGAGGTGGTGGGATTACAGGTGTGAGCCACTGTGCCTGGCTGGAAATCACATCTCATCATGAGATCTGGAGGGCACATACCCGAACCACATTAGCCTTCAAGGGAAATTCCAGCACCTAGCTATTCTTGAGAAGTAAATTAGCAAGTTGATAAGAAGATGGTAGTAATTGGCTGGGTGCACTGGCTCACACCTGTAATCCCAGCACTTTGAGAGGTCAAGACAGATAGATCAATTGAGGTCAGGAGTTCCAGATCAGTCTGGCTAACATGGTGAAACCCCATGTCTACTGAAAATACAAACATTAGCTGGATGTGATAATGGATGCCTGTTATCCCAGCTACTGAGGAGGCTGAGGCAGGAGGATTGCTTGAACCTGGGAGGCGGATGGTGCAGCGGGCTTAGATTGGGCCATTGCTCTCCAGCCTGGGAGACAGAGTGAGACTCCGCCTCAAGAAAAAAAAAAAGAAAAGAAAAGAAAAGGAAAAAGATAATAATAGCTCAGAACAATAGCCACCCAAGTTGGTTAGAGCCACAAGATATTTGATCCCCTATAGAAAGTAAATATAACATCTTGACAAATGTCCCTAAGTTGTTTTCAGAAGTACAGTTCTCCACTGGATGAAAAATTGTGACAGCTTTCCCTTCGACCTCAGATAAGGGTGAACCGAAGACTGAACTCTCACTGGTGTTCTTTGTTCCAAATTTCTTCCCGAGGGGTCTGGAGGGAATCACACTCACAGGCAAAACTTAACACCCCTTCTGCTGACCCCAAGGTTTTAGATAAAGCTTTGCTTTCTTAGTCAACTGTAAACTGAAGAAATATTTGAATTGGCCAGGCGTGGTAGCTCAGGCCTGTAATCCCAGGACATTGGGAGCCTGAGGCGGGCGGATCACCTGAGGTCAGGACTTTGAGGCCAGCCTGGTTAACATAGTGAAACCGTATCTTTGTTAAAAATACAAAAATTAGCTGGGTGTGGTGGTGAGCACCTGTAATCCCAGCTACTCAGGAGGCTGAGGCAGGAGAATCACTTGAACCAGGGAGGTAGAGGTTGCAGTGAGCCAAGATGGGGCCATTGCACTCCAGCCTGGGTGACAGGGCGAGACTCAGAAAAAAAAAAAAAAGAAAAAGAAAAAGAAAAATCTTCTCTGGCGCCCTTTAGTCTTATTTTTTTCTTTTTTTTTTTTTTTTTTTTTTTTTGTTTGTTTGAGATGGGGTGTTGCTCTGTCACCCGGGCTGGAGTGCAGTGGCACAATCTTGGCTCACTGCAACCTCTGTTTCCCAGGCTTCATCAATGCTCCTGCCTCAGCCTCTCCTGTACCTGGGATGATAGTGTGTGCCACACCCCCGGGGTAATTTTTTTTGTTTGTTTGTTTTGTATTTCTTGTAGAGACCCTGGTCTCATTATATTGTCCAGGCTGGTCACAACTCCTGGGCTCAAGTCATCCTCCTGCCTCCCCCTCCCAAAGTGCTGGGATTACAGGTGTGAGCCACTAAGCCCATCCTGAATTACTGATTTTTACATACTGTATAAACTTTTGCATCCTACTTGTTCTTACTTTTGTTAAATGTGGCCTAAAGCTGCCTCATAAACAGCGAACTATATCCTAATTTAAGCATGTAAGCATTTCACTAAAGGAATATACAAGTAAAATTTTAAAGAAAGAAAATAAGAAAAAGTGCATAAACATTTGGGAAAAAGCCTTTAGGCCTTGTCAGTTTGTAGAATGTATTTATTTTCACTATGCTGGGGACTCCATTTCCAGTATTAAGGTCCATTCCCAGAAGGTGGATTTGACGAGCATGAGAAAAGGGGTGGGGGAGTAATCGTGCAAACAATTGTGTCCAGTCGAGGTTCCTAGGACCAGAGGGACCCCTCTGTATGGCAGAGGCACCTGACAGCCGTACCTGATGTGTACCCTCAGAATGACTTTATGGTCGAAGAAGAAATTGTGTTCGGAGCCCCAAGCTAAGGAATCAGGAGTGGCAAGATCCTGGAAGGATGCCAACCTGTGAAACTCTGAGTCAAGAGGTCAAGCTGGGGACTTGGTTTCTCGAGTCGACCGCTTGGCCCTCTTCCAACTTGTACTTTCCTTCTTTCCTTTACTTCCTGTTCTAAAGTTTTTAATAATCATTTTTTTTATACTATCTCACTCTATAGCCCAGGCTGGAGTGCAGTGGCTCAATCTCAGCTCACTGCAACCTCCACCTCCCAGGTTCAAGAGATTCTCCTGCCTCAGCCTCCCAAGTAGCTGGGATTACAGGCACTCATCATTACGCCCAGCTAATTTTTGTATTTTTAGTAGAGACATGGTTTCACCATGTTGGCCAGGCTGGTCTCGAACTCCTGATCTCAGGTGATCCACCCAACTCAGCCTCCCAAAGTACTGGAATTACAGGCATGAGCCACTACGCCCTTTCCTGGCCTGCTTTTTAAAAAAATTTTACTCCTGCTCTGCAACTTGCCTCTATCTGGTATCTACCTTATGACCCTCAGTCAAATTATTTCTTCTGAGGAGGCAAGAATTGAGGTTGTTTCAGTTGTGTATGGATTCACCACCGGGAACTCGGATACCTTCCACCTGTAAAAGGTCGAGGATGCTAGGTGAAAATGTTATGGAAGCTGCATGCTTTTTACAAATGTAGTGGTTCTCATGTCCAGCCACAGCCACTGCACCTGTGTGAAAGTCCCCTTAATAAACCTATGTCTTTTTCACTGTCTCCAGATCTCTTCCAGATTCCTTCCACATGATGCCTTCCCTACTGGAGTAAAGTGGGGTCCCGCAGGGCACCCTCTCCCTGCAATTTTTTTTTTTTTTTTTTTTTTGAGATAGATTCTTGCTCTGTCACCCAGGTTGGACTGCAGTGGTGTGACCTCGGCTCACTGCAACCTTCGCCTCCTGGGTTCAAGTGATTCTTCAGCCTCAGCCTCCTGAGTAGCTGGGATTACAGGCGCCTGCTATCATGCCTGGCTCCCTTTTTTTTTTTTTTTTTTTTTTTTTGAGTATTTTCAGTAGAGAGGGGGTTTCGCCATGTTGGCCAGGCTGGTCTCGAACTCCTGGCCTCAAGTGATCCGCCTACCTCAGCGTCCCCAAGTGCTGGGATTACAGGCCTGAGCCACTGCACTTGGCCTCTCTCCCTGTATCTTCATGTATCTTCAAAGCCAAGAAGGAGCTTCTGTCCCCTTGGTTAGGGTCAGGGTCCCAGAGGTCCAGTGTCAAGGCTACGGCCGCCTCCCAAGGAGGTGCATCCCTGCAAGAGGCTGCATCCAGCAGTCATGGAAGAGGCTCCCGTGGGGCCTGCTCCAATTCCTGCTGGGGAAAGCAAGTGGAGGTGCCCCTTGAAGAAACGGGGATGCCACCAATCTCAGGGGTTCTGTCCTGGCCTGCGGCCCTGGATCGTCCAGCCTCTGCTGGGATGGGGAGCAGACGACGTCCTTCTTCGCTGCAGCTAAGGGTGGAGGTCGGGCTTCCCCAAAGGCCTAGTCCTGGATTGCAGCCACAGGTCCTACTGGGCAGCGTCTGGCGCCGCCCCGCCCCTCCAGGCCTGGCACTCGCCCTCAACAAACATGGCGCAGACGGCCTCACGCGCCTCAGGCCGCAGGCGCGCCGCGCGGCACGCCCACAGGGCTCCGCCCGCGCCGCTCTCATCCGGTCAGACTGGCTGACAACACAGGGAGCGGGAAGTATGACTTGGATGGTGGCGGTGTCCGGGGCCGCTCTCGGCCGCTGTTGTGTGGCTGCGCGCAGGCGCTACTGGGCGGGATGCTGTACACCGGGGAGAGCCGGTTGCGGGAGAGGCCTCTGAAGCTTCCAAGCCCACTTCTCCGACAAGGGACGCCTGGGCTTCCAGGAGCAGAGGTACGGGCGGCCGTTGGGAGAGGCGCCGGGAGCCCGGCGTTGGGAATGGCCTAAGTCCCGGCGCCCTACACCCTCCTTCACCTGAGTGCCCTGGAGCTGGGGTCCCGGAGGAGGTTAAAGGTCAACGGGCTTGGGGGCGCGGGGTTGGAGGACGGGGGAACCGGGGGGGACTAGGGAGACTCAGGAGGGCCAGGGCGGAGGAGGCGGGAGGAGGAGGAAGAGCTCCTGTCCAGCCGCGTCCGGAGGCGAAGTCTGAGCCCGGGCAGTGTCCTTTCTAATATTTAGTTTTAATTTTTGAAATGTTTTTGAGACTGGGTTTGGTCCTGCCGCCCAGGTTGGAGCGGAATGGGGCAATCCTAACTTCTGAGCTCAAGCGATTCTCCCGCCCCAGCCTTGCAATTTAGCTGGGACCGCCATGCCTAATTAAAAAAAAAAAAAAAGAAAGAAAGAAACTTGGTCGGGCTTGGTGGCTCACGCCTGTAATCCCAGCAATTTGGGAGGCCGAGGCGGGCGGATCACTTGAGGCGAGGAGTTCAAGACCACCCCGGCCAACGTGGTGAAACCCCGTCTCTACTAAAAATACAAAAATTAGCCGGGCGTGGTGATGAGCACCTGTAATCCCAGCTACTTGGGAGGCAGAGGCAGGGGAATTGCTTGAACGAGGAAGGCGGAGGTTGCAGTGAACCCAGATCAAGCCACCGCACTCCAGCCTGTGTGACAGACTGAGACTCCGTCTCAAAACAAAAACCAACTTTTTGTTTTGTTTTGTTTTTTAAGATACAGGGTCTCAGTACGTTCTCCAGGCTGATCTCGAACTCCTGACCTCAAGCCATCCTCCCACGTTGACTTCCCAAAGCGCTCATTACAGGCATGAGCCACCAGACACTTGTCAGGCCTGAGGGGCAGGCCCTGCACAGAGCTGGGCCCGGGGATCGGGAGGAGGGGACAGTTTAGACATTCTGAGGTTGGCTCTGCCGAGAGGGGAAGGTAGCTTGGTTTTCAGGGTTCAGATAGAGGACAGACAGTGACATCAGGCCAAGGACGCCACCCCTGTTGCCCTCCTGACTTGGATGTGGTCAGCAGAGAAGTGGGATCCGGTAAGGTCTGGGCCGCGTTTGCCTGTTCTACCTCCTCTTTTTCTTTGTCTTTTTTTTTTTGAGAGAGAGTCTCACTGTGTCACCCAGGTGGTATGCACTTACAGTCCCAGCTGCTAGGGAGGCTGAGGAGGGAGAATTGCTTGAGCCCAGGAGTTTGACGCTGCAGTAAGGTGTGACTGTGCCACTGTGCTCCAGCCTGGTCCAATTTTTCATTAAAAAAATTTTTTTCTTTGAGATGGGGTTTCACTCTTGTTGCCCAGGCTGGAGTGCAATGGCGAGATCTCGGCTCACTGCAACCTCCGCCTCCTGGTTTCAAGTGATTCTTCTGCATCAGCCTCCTGAGTAGCTGGGATTACAAGCGTGCCCCACCACTTCCAGCTAATTTTGTATTTTTAGTAGAGACGGGGTTTCTCCATGTCGGTCAGGCTGGTCTTGAACTCCCGACCTCAGTTGATCCGCCTGCCTCGGCCTCCCAAAGTGTTGTGACTATAGGCATGAGCCACCGCGCCCGGCCTTAAATTTTTTTTTTTTAACTAAAACAAGGTCTCACTGTGTATCCCAGGCTAGTCTTGAACTCCAAGACTCAAGTAATCTTCCCACTTTGGCTTCCCAAAGTGCTGGGATCCTAAGTGTGAGGTACCATGCCCAGCCAGGTTTTTTAACTGTAGCAATTTACCATAGTAATTTAAGATGTTCATAAGAAGGAAGCCAGGTACAAGGGTATGTGTGAACTTTGTGCTGTCTTGGCAATTTGTCTGTAATTCTAAAACTGTTTTAAAATTAAAAGTTTACTCAACTTCCCCATGTGGTGCTAAAGAAAAAAATAACAATAACATTAAAAGTGTTTTATTTTGAAAATATTTCTTATTTTTTTTTTGAGACAGGGTCTCACTCTGTCACCCAGGCTGTAGTGCAGCAGTGCAATGTTGGCTCACTGCAAGCTCTGCTACCCAGGTTCAAGCAATTCTTCCACCTCAGCCTCCCAAGTAGCTGGGATTACAGGCATGCGCCACCACACCCGGCTGATTTTTGTATTTTTAGTAGAGACAGGGTTTCACCATGTTGGCCAGGCTGATCTTGAACTCCTGGCTTCAAGCAGTTCACCCGCCTTGGCCTCCCAAAGTGCTGGGACTACGGTTGTGAGCCACTGCGGCCAGACTATTTTTTAAATACTTTTTAGAACCAAAGTCTTGTTATGCTGCTCAGGCTAGATTCTAACTCCTGTGCTCAAGCAATTCTCCTGCCTCAACCTCCTGAGCAGCTGAGACTACAGCTTGTGCCACCACAGCCAGCCAAAAAGTTTATGTTTCTTTTTTTAAAAAAGAGAGGGCTTAGGACTTCCTGGAGCACAGACTTCAAATAGCAGTTGAGTCCACCATTGTGCTCCCTTCTCTCTGGATCTTTCTTCCTGAGTTCCTGTGAAAAACAAGCTTTGGCCCTGCCTGTGCGGCTCCAGCCTACCGGTTATTGTCGTTTCCTGACGGCCAGTCCTGTGGACTCTGGGCTTGCTTAGCCAACCCCACAAATACAGAAGCCAAGGTTTTACCAATCTATCTATCTATCTAGATGTATGTCTGTATATAGGTTTTTTGTTTGTTTGTTTGTTTGTTTGTTAGAGACGGAGTCTAGCTTTGTGACCCAGGCTGGAGTGCAGTGGCACGATCTCGGTTCACTGCAATCTGTGCCTCCCGGGTTCAAGCAATTCTCCTGTCTCAGCCTCCCGATTTGCTGGAACTACAGGCATACACTACCACACCTGGCTAATTTTTGTATTTTTATTAGAGACAGAGTTTCATCATGTTGGCCAGGCTGGTCTCAAACTCCTGACGTTAGGTGATCTGCCTGCCTCAGCCTCCCAAAGTGCTGGGATTACAGGCTTGAGCCACTGTGCCCGGCTAGAAGCCATCCGTTTCTATATCTATGCAGATGTGTGTCACTATATGTTTATGTATATCTGAATCTGTGTATCTCTCCTACTGGTTCTGCTTCTCTGGTTTGAACCCTAACACAGCTATTTGTTTTTTTTTTTTTTTTTTTTTTTGAGTTGGAGTCTTGCTCTGTCACCCCAGCTGGAGTGCAGTAGTGTTATCTCTGTTCATTGCAACCTCCGCCTCCTGGGCACAACTAGTATTTTATAATCTGTTAGGAATTCAAATGTTTTTCAAAAGATCAAACTACATATTTAAATACATTTCAAATACAAACTTTTAAAATGATATTATGAAGCATTAAGTAAAATTCGACATTATTAGGCCAGGGACGGTGGTTTATGCCTATAATCCCAGTACTTTGGGAAGCCAAGGCGGGCAGATTGCTTGAGCTCAGGTATTTGACACCCCCCTGGGCAACATAGCAAGACCGTGTCTCCACAAAAATAGAAAAATCAGCTAGGCATGGTGGTCGTGCCTGTAGTCCCAGCTGTTTGGGAGGCTGAGGTGGGAGAATCACTTGACCCTAGGAATTTGAGGCAGCAGGGAAGCATGATTGAGCCATTGCACTTCAGCCTGGGTGACAGAGTGAGACCCCATCCCACCGCCCAAAAAAAGTTAACATCATTATATAATTGTACTCTATTAGCAAAATGAAAGAAAATTAAGTATTATTTAAAAATAGGCGAGGTGCAGTGGCTCATACCTATAATGCCAGCACTCTGGGAGGGCAAAGCAGGTGGATCACTTGAGGACAGGAGTTCGATACCAGCCTGGCCAACATGATGGAACCCCATTTCTACTAAAATTGCAAAAGTTTGCCCAGTGTGGTGGCGCGTGCCTGTAATCCCAGCTACTCAGAAGGCTGAGGCGGGAGAATCGCTTGAACCCGGGAGGTGAACGTTGCAGTGAGCTGAGATGGAGCCACTGCCCTCCAGCCAGGGTGAAGGGTCTCAAAAATAGATTAATAAATAAATAGCTAAACAGTTGGTTCAAATGGACATAAAGATGGAAATAACAGGCACTGGGAGCTCCACAGGTGGGGAGGGAAGGAGGGCAAAGGGTTGAAAAACTGCTCGTTGGGTACTATGGTCAGTGTTTGGGTGATGGGTTCACTAGAAGCCCAAACCTTAGCATTTTGCAGTGTACTCATGGAACAGACCTGCACATGTGCCCCATGAATCTAAAGTTTAATACAATAAAAATAATAAACTTAGTGCAAAAGACAATTGTAGACTTTAATCATAAAACACAAGATAAAATAACACTGATTTTTTGTTTTGTTTTGTTTTGTTTTTTTCAGGCAGTCTCATTCTGTCACCCAGGCTGGAGTGCAGTGGTGAGATGTCAGTTCACTGCAACCTCCATCTCCTGACCTCAAGCAATTCTCGTGCCTCAGCCTCCTCAGTAACTGGGATTACAGGCGCACACCTTCCGCCTCCTGGGTTCAAGTGATTCTCTTGCCTTAGCCTCCCGAGTAGCTGGGACTACAGGGACCCGCCATCACGCCTGGCTAATTTTTTTGTATTTTCAGTAGAGACGGGGTTTCACCATGTTGGCCAGGATGGTCTTGCTCTCCTGACCTCATGATCCGCCCACCTCAGCCACTATAGCCTTGAACTCCTGGACTCAAATAATCATCCTGACTCAGTCTCCTGGATAGCTAGGGCTACAGGTGTGTATCATCGTGCCCAGCAATTTTTTTTTTTTTGACTTTTTCTGCAGAAACAAGCTCCTGCCATGTTGCCTGGACTGGTCTCCAATTCCTGACCTTAAGTGATCCTCCCACCTCAGCCTCCCAGTGTTGGCATTACAGGCATAAGCCACTGTGCCAAGCCTTTTTTCACATCTTGAAGTCAGTAAGAAGTGGATCATCTCATCTGGCCCGGCACGGTGGCTCATGCCTGTAATCCCAGCACTTTGGGAGGCAGAGGCGGGCAGATCACGATGTCAGGAGATCGAGACCATCCTGGCTAACACGGTGAAACCCCGTCTCTACTAAAAACACAAAAAATTAGCCAGGGTGGTGGTGGGTGTCTGTTGTCCCAGCTGCTTGAGAGGTTGAGGCAGGAGAATGGCGTGAGCCCAGGAGGCAGAGCTTGCAGTGAGCCAAGATCACACCAATGAACTGCAGCCTATGCAACAGAGCGAGGAGACTCTGTCTCAAAAAAAAAAAAAAAAAAAAAAAATAGATTATCTCATAGACCAGAGATTTCAGAACAAGCCAGTATTTTGGCTATTCTTGGCCCTTTTGGCATTTTTTTTTTTTTTCTTTGAGACAGAGTTTTGCTCTTGTTGCCCAGGCTGGAGTACAATGGTGCAATCTCAGCTCACTGTAACCTCTGCCTCCCAGATTCACGTGTTTCTCCTGTCTCAGCCTCCTGAGTAGCTGGGATTACAGGCAGGTGCCACTACACTTGGCTAACTTTTTTGTGTTTTTATAGTAGAGACGGGGTTTGCTGTGTTGGCCAGGCTGATCTGGAACTCTTGACCTCAGGTGATTCACCTGCCTCTGCTTCCCAAAATTTTGTGATTACCGGCATGAGCCACCACACCCAGCCTGCATTTTCATATAAATTTAGAATTAGCCGGGCGTGGTGGCAGACATCTGTAATCCTAGCACTTGGAGAGACTGAGGTGGGAGGATTGCTTGAGCCCAGGAGTTTGAGGCTTCACTGAGCTGTAATTGCACCACTATACTCCAGCTTAGACAACAGAGCAAGATGCTTTCTAAAAACAAAATTAGAATCAGCTTGTCAATATTTATTAAGAAATATGTTGAGATTCATCCTAATGATGACTGTTTGTTTAAAAAAAAAAGCGCTGGACGCAGTGGCTCACATCTGTAATCCCAGCACTTTGGGAGGCTGAGGCAGGCAGATCACAAAGTCAAGAACTCGAGACCATTCTGGCTAAAACCGTGAAGCCCCATCTCTACCAAAAATACAAAAGAAAAAAAAGCCGGGTGTCGTGGGGGGCACCTGTGGTCCCAGCTACTTGGGAGGCTGAGGCAGGAGAGTGGCGTGAATGCGGGTGGCAGAGCTTGCAGTGAGCCGAGATTGCGCCACTGCACTCCAGCCTGGGTGACAGAGCGAGACTCTGTCTCTAAATAAATAAATAAATAAGAAAAGAAAGAAATCTGTTTAGGTTTTGATAAGAATTACATGTAATCTACAAATCACTTTGAGGAGAACTGATCTTTATGATATTGAGTATTCCAATCCATGAACATGGTATATTTCTCCAGACTCACACAAATATTAATGAATGCAAAAGAAAACATCAGGATGGTAGGGTTGTTTATTCAGAGAACACCCATGGGAATGTTGTTCTGGCACTACTTGCCTTCTAAGGGCTGCCTCTGCTCCTTACTTCCTTTTTCTAGGTTGCCCGATTATTATGTGAACTTGTCCTATGCCCAGTGCTGATTGATTCAGGGGAACGCACCTGCCCAGGCCAATCCAATAAATGTCTTTACACAGATTTTTCAAACGGAGACAGAAAGAGAGTTGAACCAGGCTCTCTATTTGCAAAATATAAAATTTAGGAGCTCCCTGTAACCATGCTTCAGATTATGTGAACTAGAGGATTGGGGGAATTGCTGAGATAAAAGGACAAATCTCAAAGAAACGGAGATATGACAAGAGAAGAGAGTGGTGTTTGAGTCTCTGGCTCCACAGAGTTCTTAAGGCCAATGAGTTCTGAGAGATAGAACTATCTTGTTTATGAATTCCATGAGACAGCCCATAAATCTATCTTTAGGCTTAAGCTAGTTTGAGTGGCGTTTCTGTCACTTGGAACAAGAGTCCTGACTACTGCAGTGCAGTGGAGTTAAAAGGTATAGCCTCAATAGGTGAGCTAGCTCACTTTAAAAGGCTTCCAGTTTGAATTACACTCCATTCCCTCTGGTGCCCCTAGAAAGAGCCTTCTCTAACACAGGCCTGGAACTAGCAGACATGCTTTTGTTTTTTTTCTTTGCAGGAATTGTACTGCCTTGATTTGGGACAGATTATCAGAGGTGGGCACCGTTATCCTCTTTCATGCAGGATTTATCACTTGTAAATATTTGTCTTATGTTTGGATGCTACGTTTTGGTTAGAATTTAATGATCATATCTCTCATCAAGATTACCCACATGATCACCCTAAGGCTGTTGTAAGCCTTACTGACAAGTATTCCATATGTCAAGATGTCAAGTGCAACCCAAAATAAGATGTAAGCACCAAATGGGACTGAGAGAGAAATGCTAGAAATCTTCACCCTTCCTGCCTTTCTTGATAATAACCGTGCATCCTGTGAGGGAAATAGTGTTACAGTGATAGAAAGGTAAGGTTCTGAAATTTGAAGAGATTGGAGGCCAGGTGTGGTGGTTCACGCCTGTAATCTCAGCATTTTGGGAGGCCAAGGTGGGTGGATTGCTTGTACCCAGGAGTTCCAGATGAGCTGGGCAACATTGTGGGACCCCATCTCTAAAAATAAAAATAAATTAACTGGGTGTAGTGGCTCACGCCTATAATCCCAGCTACTCAGGAGGCTGAGATGGGAGGATCGCTTGAGGAGGTCAAGGCTGCAGTGAGCTGTGATCATGCCACTGCACTCCAGCCTGGGTGACAGAGTGAGACCCTGTCTCCAAAAAAAAAAAAAAAAAGGATTGGAGGGAAGAATTTTTGAAGATACTGTGGTGCAGGGAAAGGGCGTGCTGTGTATATGCAGATGGTCCTCAGCTTTCCAAACTTAACTCTGGAACAGGCTACCTTTCATACATTTTATATACTGTATACTGACAGATCCAACACACTTTTCATAGGACACATTTGAGCCTTTTTTTTTTTTTTTTTTTTAATGTTTTTAAGACAGAGTCCGGCTCTGTTGCCCAGGCTGGACTGCAGTGGCACAATCTTGGCTCACTGAAACTTCTACCTCCTGGGTTCAAGTGATTCTCCTGCTTCAGCCACCCAAGTAGCTGGGACTGTAGGTGTGTGCCACCACGCTCAGTCTGGGCAAGCAGCCCCAAGAACCCAGCCGATGTGAAGGGTCCTGTGGTCGGGCTGGTGGGACGGGGTCGATGGCAGAGCCCCAGGGTTTGTCTGGGTGGAGCCTGTGCTTCACCAGGAGAGGTGAGTGGGCCAGGTGTCCCAGGGGACAGGAAGCTCCAGGCCATGCCAGTCTTAGGCCTCCCCACACCCTGCCAGGACAGTTTTGTGTGCTGTGGGAGAGACCCCTAGATTCCAAACTTAGACTCCAGAAACCAAGAAGGAGGGAGCACAGCCTGCTGTGGGTACACACGGGGAAACCGAGGCTGCAAAGGAAATGACTGGGCCAGGACACCTGGCAAAGGTGACTTGGGAAGGCCCCTAGGAAGGTGCAGGGTTGTCTGCTCTCCAGAGGGCTCTAGTGGAAAGGAGGGAATTAAGATGGGGGGAGAGACCCTGGGTGGACCAGATGGCCACACCATGAACCCTCCCAGAGACTTTAGACAGAGAGAGGTGCTCCACAGCACCCCACGCTACCTCTGCCATCTCTCACCCCCTCCTCTGTCCACACAGGTCAGCCCAAGGCCATCCGCTCAGTCACTCTGTTTCCGCCATCTTCTGAGGAGATGCAAGCCAACAAGGCCACACTGATGTGTCTCATGAGTGACTTCTATCTGGGAATCTTGACGGTGACCTGGAAGGCAGATGGTACCCCCATCATCCAGGGCATGGAGATGACTGTGCCCTCCAAACAGAGCAACAAATACGTTGCCAGCGGCTACCTGAGCCTGACGCCCGAGCAGTGGAGATCCCGCAACATCTTCAGCTGCCAGGTCATGCATGACGGGAGCACCGTGGAGAAGACAGTGGCCCCTGCAGAATGTTCATAGGTTCCTAACCCTCACCCCACCCACAGGGGCCTGGAGCTGCAGGATCCCAGGGGAGGGGTCTCTCTGCATCCCAAGCCATCCAGCCCTTCTCCCTGTACCCAGAAAACCCTCAAACGTCTTTTGTCAACCAGAAATCCTGCTCCCTCTCTTCATTTCTTATCTCTCATACAATTTGATGCTTCTCCTGGGTTCTCAGTGTGGCATTGGGGGAATCCTGGCACCAGTGGGAAAGCAGCCTGGAGGAGAGGATCACAGGCTCCCAGGCGTGTCCCCTGGGGACATAGGCCAGGATAGGAGGAGTCGGCTCACTGAACACCGGTCCATCCATTCTCTCCCACCTCCCCTTCCTCCTTGCAGCTCACCCTCCAACTCGCTGCCTGGGTTTTGGAGGGAGCTATTTCTGGCTGAACCTCGAGATACACCCTCTGTCCCTGTCCTGGTCTGGACCTTCCCCTGACCCACGGCCTCTCTTTCCTCAGCCTGGAAATCCTACTCTAGGCCTGGATTACCTGTGCTTCTGGCTCTGGCCCCTGGAGTGCCATCCTTCCTCTCTGCCCAACTCCCCACCCCCAAGGGCTGGACTGTCTAGGACACTCCCACACCATCAAATTCATGAGCTCTTAAATTTGGGGCCCACTTTGATTTTTCACCTGACAGCAGGTTCAGAGGTGTGAGAAAAATAGGAGGAAGTCAGGAAGGAAACACACATGAAAGGCCTGCAAGAGGCTCAGGACACTTGTAAAAGATAGGCTGTGAGCTCCCCAGGAACAAGTGCAAGAACGGCAATAGGTGCTCCATCATTTCTTTTTTTTTTTTTTTTTTTTTAAGATGGAGTCTCGCTCTGTCGCCCAGGCTGGAGTAAATAGAAAAGAGAGTGGTCAACACTCTAAGAATTATCCATCTCAAGAAGTCAGGAAAAGAACAAATTAACCTAAAGAGTACAGAAGAAAATACCAAATGTAATAGTAATTGATGAAATAAAAAATGAATAAATAATAGAGACCACCAAAAAGGCCAAAAATTTGGTACTTTTAAAAGACTAGTAAAATTGATAAATCCCTGATGAGACTAATCAAAAGAAAAAAGGGGAGAAGGCACCAAGAAAGGAATGTAAGGAATAAGAAAAGGAACACCTCTGTAGACATTAAAATGGTAAAATGATATTGTGAACAATTTGATGTTAAGACATTTCAAAGTTAGATCACATGGACAAATACTGGGAAAACTATAATCTACCAAAATGGGCAAAATAAATAAAATTATTTAAAAATTCTATATGTGGAATTGAATTTAAAGACTTCTCTCCAGAGAAAACTCTAGGCCAATGTGCCTTTACTGGTGAATTTCACTTTACACATTTCTTTCTTAAGAAAAAAATCAGCATGTGTAAATTTACCTAGAGAATAAAAGCAGAGAAAATGAAATCTAACTCATTTTATGAAGCCAAGATTTGAAGAAACTATGAGAAAGGAAAATTATAACCAATTGCCCAGATTACATGAATTTAAAAATCCTAAACAAAATATTAGCAAACAGGATCTGGCAATTTAATAATAAAATAATTTAATAATTATTTGACAAAATAATATAGCACAAGTAAATTACGTTTATTCCAGAAATATGTTGGTTTACCACTTAATCAATGTAATTTGCCACATTTATTAATAGGATAAAGTAGAAAAATTATCATCTCAAAGATTCAGAAAAATCTTTAAAAATTCAACATCCATTCATGATTGGAAAAAAAAAAACCCAACTCTTAGCAAACTAAAGGAATTTCTTTTTTCTTTCTTTTTGTTTTGTTTTGCTTTGTTTTGTTTTTTGAGAGAGAGTCTCACTCTGTCATCCAGGCTGGATAGCAGTGGTGCCATCTTGGCTCACTGCAACCTCTGCCTCCTGGGTTCAACTGATTCCCTTGCCTCAGCCGGAGTAGTTGGCATTGCAGGCATGCGCCACCACACCTGGCACATTTTTGTATTTTTGAATAGAGATGGGGTTTCACCATGTTGCCTAGGCAGGTCTTAAATTCCTGGCCTCAAGTGATTTGCCCCCCTGGGCCTCCCAAAGTGCTGGAATTACAGGTGTAAGCACAGCACCCAGCCAAGGAATTTCTTAATCTAATAAATGGTAGCTAACACACACACACACACACACACTCATAAAGCAATTGGAGAGATGTTGAAAGCTTTTCCTTTGAGAATGGAAATGTTGATGGTCACTATTGCCACTTCTAATTCTACACTGTACTAAAGGTTCTAGCCAGTGCTAGAAGAGAGAAATGACTGAAATAGAAAAAATACAATGTATTATTTTCGTATGATATAATCATGTACCATAAAATCCAAAAGAATCTATAGATATATTAATAGAACTAATAAGTGAGTTTAGGCTGGACACAGTGGCTTAGGCCTGCAGTCCTAGTACTTTGGGAGGCGGAGGCTGAGGCTGGCAGATCACTTGAGCTCAGGAGTTTGAGACCAACCTGGGCTACATAGCGAAACCCCATTTCTACAAAAAAATCAAAAAATTAGCTGGGCATGGTGGCACCTGCCTGCGGTCCTAGCTACTCAAGAGGCTGATATGGGAGGATCACCCGAGCCCAGGGAGGTTGAGGCTGTAGTGAGCCATGATCGTGACACTGCACTCCAGCCTGGGTGACAGAATGAGACCCTACCTCAAAAAAAAAAAAAAAAAAAGTTAGTTTAGGAAAGTTGCTAATTGCAAGATGAATAAATAAAATGAACTGCATTTAAAACAACAAAAAAATTAGAAAATAAACATTTTAAAGGGATATCATTTAAATAACCACACAAAAAAAATCTAGGCATAAATCTTGCCAAAAATATGCAAGCTTTCTATACAGAAAATGAGAAAGCATTGTAAAGAGAAATTGAAGAGGACCTAACTCAACAAGAGAATACCTCTGTTCATGGGTTGGATGAGTCAATATTGTAAAGACTCGATTCTCCCCAGGCTATAAATTCAATGTAATTCCAAACAAATTTCTATCCAGTGTGTGTAATTTGACTAGTTGATTCCAAACTTTACATGGAAATGTAGATGACCTAAAATACCCAAACAATTGTGAAGAAAAAGGAAAAGATAATTATACTCCATGACTGGAAATGAGGACGTATTAGAAAGCCACAATAAGATAGTTGTGCTATTGGCACACAGATGAAAAATCGATGAACAGAACAGAAAGGTCAGAAACAGATTCATGTTCTGCAAGGTAGTAAAGAAATGAAAATCTTCTCAACCAGTGTGCTGCAATAATTGGATAGCCATACATGGAAAAAGATGAAACCTGATGCCTTCCTCACACCACACACATAAATCAATTTTAAAAGGAATGAACCTTCTAGAAGAAAATATAGTAGTAAAATGTCCTTTAAACTCAAGGAAAATTGTCTTAATCAGGACCCAAAACACAAACTTTATAAAGGGAGAGCATGGTACCTATGACGGTAATCCAACTAAGAACCTCTGTCAACCAAAAGATACTCCTGAGAGAGAGAAAAGGCAAATCACAGAGCAGAAAAGCTTTCTTGAAATACATTTATGATCAATAACATAATTGAAATCAGAATACATAAAGAACTCCTACAATCAAGAGAAAAAAGATGAATAACCCAGGAGAAAAATGGTTAAATTTAAAATTTACTGTACAAAAAAGGATATCCAAATACTTAATAATCTTAAAGAAACTTCCTCAGTTTTCTTAGTAATTATAGAAATGCAAATGATCACCACTGTAAGATGCCATCACACAAACACCCAAAGGCTAAAAATAAAAATACTCAGAATTGCAAGTATTGGGGAAGATATGGGATGCTTGAAGTATACAATACCAGTGGAGTAAAAATTTGTACAACTGTTTTAGAAAACAGGTGACATTATCAAGTAAAGTTCAAGATTCATTACCCTAAGACAGAACAATTTTAGTACAAGGTATATACTCAACAAAAATGTGGCCACATGTGCAACAAGAAGCGTATATTTTTAAAACCAGTATTATTGGGCTAGGCGCGGTGGCTCATGCCTATAATCCCAACACTTTGGGAGGGAGAGGAAGGCGCATCACTTGAGGTCAGGAGTTTAAGGCCAGCCTGGACAACATGGCAAAACCCCATCTCTACTAAAAATACAGCTGGGTGTGGTGGTGGATGCCTGTAATCCCAGCTACTTGGGAGGCTCAGGCACCAGAGTTGCTTGAACCCAGGAGGCAGAGGTTGCAATGAACTGAAATCATGCCACTGCACTCCAGCCTGGGTGAAAAAACAAACCCAGGCTGATACAAACAGCCTGGGTGATAAAAACAAACAAAAAAAGCCATATTATTTATCACAGTAAAAATTGGAAACAACCTAATGTAACAGAAAAAAAGATGCCATTTTCAGTTACAATTTGTGTAGGAACGAATTTTTGAAAAGATATGCAAAGACATGATGAAAAATGTATAAAACATTATTAAAAAAGGAACAAGATAATTCATATGTACAACTCAATATTGCAAAGTTGTCAGTTCTCTCAAGTTAATCAATAATTTCAATGTAGTTCCAACAAAAATCCTAAAAGCGTTTTATTATGGCATTTCACAAAATGACTTTAAAACTGAACATAATAATAAAGTTCCAAGGAGAGCAAGACTATTCTGCCTTTATCAAACTACATTATAAAGCTACAAATATTACAAAAGTGTGGTAGAGAGAAGTTAGAAACACTTGAATATTTATAGAAATTTAGTATATTACTGAGAGGGATTACAAATTAATGGAGAACAAAATAGCATGCAATTGATGATGTTGGGACAATTGGCTATCTATATGAAAAAAATACCTCTCCCAACTTCCAATTAAAGACCCAAATATTAAAAATAGAACTTGAATATTTTTGAAGAAATGTGGAATATCTTCACTACATTAGTATAGGGGTGAATTTCTTAAACATGACAGAAAAGCATGAAATACATACACACACATAGATGAACAAATTTTACTACCTTCAAAATTACAAACTCCTCTCCAGGCACGATGGCTCATGCCTGTAATCCCAGCACTTTGGGAAGCTGAGGTGGGTGGATCACTTGAGTCCAGGAGTTCGAGACCAGTGTGGGCAACATAGTGAGACCCTG